AAAGACTCTTATTGCACACGTTGGTACGTTTTAAAGTTGGAATTATTCTGCCAGATTTACTAATTGTTATGAACTTATTAGTAAATCTGGCAGAATAATTCCAATAATAATAATGATGTTGATGATGATCAAGACGATGCCGCGCGATACCGATAACGACGGTTACAGTGACAACCACAACGATAACTACAATGGTAATAAATGGTAATGATATTATAATTATAGCGATAACCATACAAATTTGAAAAATTGTTTAGTTGAAGTCATAACAGAATAACTTGATAGCATTATTACCCTGGTTTTGTTCTTCTCTGTCTACGTCGGATTAGCAAGTAACTTAGTAAAATCATAGCTATTGTGGCCACGACACTCGACGTTATCACACTAGCAACAATCGACAAGTTAGGACCCGCGTTCATTTCCGATACAGTTTCCTTTGGTTGAGTGGCGGTGGGCAAAATTTTTGTAGTTGCTTGCTCAGCACATATTCCAGTATGTCTGCCTATAACATGATTCAGAAAAAAAACATTATGTCAGTTTTATTGTTTCTTTTAACCTAAAATAATTGTTATTACAATAAATAAATAAATAACATATATCACGTACGTGTAACATCTCAATAAATACTGGTACTATTGAAGCGCAAAAAATAAGCAGTGCAGTTTTATCTAATCTATTATCTACATATGAATCATGTAGGCTATTATTTTTTCCTTCATTGAAAGAAAACGAAAGACAAACAAGAGACAAATACCAGATGCAAGCAAATTGGAAAATTTAAATTAAACTAAATCATTTTCAGTTTATTCGCTCTTAATTTCATAGATGAAACCTGCAGGGTTTTACATGTTCCTGAACAAACAACGGACATTGGAACAACCTTCCCCTCCCCACCCTTCTCCTTTTAAGGATTAGCAAATATAGGGCCTAAATAAAATGTTATGTTGGCGTAACCCGACCGGCCCTAGACATTTTTATTTAAATTTCACGATACAAGTTTACGTGTGCAAAGTGGGCGTGGTCGTGCCGTGCGTCACTCAAAATGATTCAAGATAGTCCAAGGGCGAAAAATATGACAATTATAAGCTTTGAAGGCTTATTTAATTGATTTTATAAAAAATAAAAAAATAAAAAATACAAAGTGGGCATGGTCGTGCTGTCCGTCACTCAAAATGATTCAAGATAGTCCAAGAGCGAAAAATATGACAATTATAAGCTTTGAAGGCTTATTTAATTGATTTTATTTAAAAAAAATAAAATAAAGCAAAAAGCAAAAACCTGCCCTATTTTTTTGGGCCCGTTACGCCAACATAACATTGTTTAAGGCATAGGTTATATTCTGTAATAATGTTGACAATATTTGAGTATGTATCATAACAGAAAATCATTATTTTTAATTCAGAGGTATGCCAACTGACCCCTATCCTCAACTCAGGGGTGGCGCCAGCGGGGAAGCGGGGCGTCGCCCCCACCCCCCGTCGGGGCAAATCCTGGCACCACCCATGCCTTAATTCTCGCCAAGTAGTAACCTATGCTGCTCTCCTAAACCATAGCTTATCGCAATCGATATTTCTAATGTCTACACTATTCTGGTTAATAACGCAAACCCTCCCCGTGTTGACGATACCCGGGCAACAATTCTAAAATTTGTAAAACACATTACTAGATATCAGTCCTAGCATAAATAATTATAACATACTAAGTTATATACACGTTGTTTCAACCCTCTCAACTTTTTCCACCCCTCCCAACACCACACCCGTGACTAATTACGGTACTTACACGTGGACTCGCAAACGATAGTGTCTACCATACAAGTTGTGGTGCATTCATTATTTGTAATGTCTACACTATCGAAAAACAAGATTCTGTCCTTTACTGTAATTGTTGCACATCCCGTACTAATTTCATCATGTGGCGGGTTTTGGACATGAACAGTGAATGTACTGCCTTGCGATGATCTAAGGATACGTAGCACGTTATTTTTCAAAATCTCGTACTCGTCGATGCTGTTGATTACGGTGATGTTGCCGCCTACTTGCTCGCATTCACGCTGAGCATCAATACATGATCGGCCTTTTTTGTCCACTCTTATAAATTTGTAGCAATTTGGTGATGTAACCCTATACACATTGCTTCCTGTAAACACTAAGTTTAAAACGAGAATCATTATAGACTTACTCTCGTTAATTTATATAATGCATTATGGACGCATATTGCAATTTTGGTCATATACGCTTACATGTATCATAATTAATATTATCGTCTTTTCTAATTCTTTAAAACTAGCAACAACAACAAAAACATAAATGTAGGATCAAATTCCATTGATCCCAACACAATATCATACTTTAATTTAATAAGAGGAATAAAATGTGTAGGTTTAGTGATGTATAGAGGCTTATATCATTATTCTGTAATAAGATAACAGTGAGGATTATTATTTGCCATAGTCCTATGTATTTTGAGACACTGTAAATGTCAATTGTGTGAATGGATGCAAAATGTCGATCAAAATAGAGGCCTCTTACATGCATGGGAGTGTGATGGGTGCTTGCGTCTCGAGCTCCATTCATCATTTTTAAAGTTTATTTATAGATAGCTAAATAATAACGTGTCATTTACTGTACATTGTATGCAATATTTAGCGATAGAGTGAGTGAAAATGAGATTCTTCATCTCAAATCAACTGTATTGTTTTAGCCAGAACATATTGACGTTAGTATTTCTGTCTTTTAAATGAGTTTACAAAAATAATGAAATATACAAACTTCATGATTTCGAAATCATACCCGCGAGTTTAATGTCTCCGTTTGGTTCTTTGAATTTCCAACCATCACTTGAGGGGTATATAAGGTAGCACGCCGAACCTGAACAAGTAAATCCACTAAAAATAGCCAAACACATTTTAGTATATTCTTATAAAATGATCGAGCTTTGTAGTTTTTAGAGTGATGTGAGTCGTTCATAATTAACATCATCTGAGGCAGAACCAGAGAGGAGTAGGCCACTGTCCCGTTCGTTTTGAAAAAAGTTAATTTCGTGTCCCAAACGACGCCGCCATCCCCACTAACTCTTAGTTTAATGTAGCAGGACTCCATTTTTTCTGTCAAACTTACATAATTATCATCATTATTACAACAATGCACCATGTTTATAGCAAACGTCTGCCCATTCTCATCGTATTAAATTTGTGTATTTTTGTTTTGTATTTTTGTGGAATGAAGTTTACGTTAATGACAAAACAAATAATTGGTTCTAATTTGTTTTTATACCAGCTATTATCTCCGACAGGAGATATAAGTTTTCAGTTATGTAAGTTTGTTACAAAATGCGCGTTGAATATTTCTTCAGTGTTTTATTAAGGTTGATATACATATTTTATATACATACAAAAGTGAAACGATGTATTTGCTATATTTTTAATTATTTCTGTACATACGTTGGACCAACTGCAACGGATTATTGCATTATTATTATTGCATTCACACCTGGGCTGTATCTATATTGCCTTGGCTTGGCATAGTGTTCATTGTCGGTGTTGTTGCAGTCAAACATGAGTCTGGCCTAGCCTGTTTAAGCTGGTCGAACCTTTCCTCGTACCCTAGCTGCACTGATGGGCCTACAGCAAACTATACTAACATAGGCCTATACAATTAAAAGACCGCATGCAACGTTGAAGAGCGCATTTTCAGTTATTTTTTGACCACTAGCAATTATCCAAAGATAATCGTCTTCAGTATTTTTTCCTTTATAGAGCATATACTTCTCTTCCTTTTTTGGACTACATCCCAAGAGCACGAATGCCTTTTCATAAGGTGAATTTGTCACAATCAGGTGGTGCATGCATCTTAATGACGTAATGGTTGGGAACTGCTTCATAAGTCCGATCACTGGATCTTTCATATTGATCTCTTTTATTTATTTATTTATTCTTTATACTGGTGAAACATGTTCAGTAGGATATCTACTGTTCTCTCACAGGGCCCTGTACAAGACAACAATGACATTCACATTCATAAAAACGAGCAACATACATAAACCAGAAAAAATACATTAAAAACTCTATCATAACATTTTTAAAATTGTTAAAATTATAAAAGATCAATACGGACATTTTATTAGGTTAAGAAAAATAGAGCAGCAAAAATGGCTAGTTATTATTTTTATTATTATAATAATAATTATAATATTATTATTATTATTATTATTATTATTATTATTATTATTATTATTATTATTATTATACTATTATTATCATCATTATCATTACGGTATAATTACTAATATTAGAATTAAACTTTTCGCTGCCCCTGTAGGCAAACCTCCTCCCAGATTCAGTCCAAAATTTGGGCATTGACAAATGTCCCGAAGAGCTGACCCTAGTCCGATGGTTATGAAGCCTGCCTACAGGGCTAAGATATTATCAAAACTATGGTGGAACTCTGCCACTCAGACATTTTCGTACCATGGACAATTCATGCTGATCTGTTCTATCCTGCAGTAAAGACCAGCTGAGTTACTGGTGTAGAGAAAATATATTTGTTCGGACTTTTGCCCTAAGAACAGCTCGAGGAAGAAGAAAAATAGCCATTTGGAAATATTTTTACTTAAAACTTATATACTTAAAGTAAACAACCTATAAATTAATCAACTAACACAGCCTAAATAAGATCGCACTTATTGAATCCATTGTTCCACAGCAAGCCAGTGGCGTATCTAGGGGGTACGCCAGGTTGGGGCGGAGAGAGGGGCACGCTGCTCCAAAAATTACTCGCACCAGTCGCCCCATAAAAATCACTTGCAAGTAGTTAAAAATCACCTAAAATCCCCTTATTTTGCGAGTATTTGCCTCTGAACTTATCATCGAGCACCGCCCTCTCCACCCACTTCACCTTCGCTCCCCCTCCCACATCAGCACCCCATTTCAAGACTTCTAGATACGCCACTGTAGCAAGCTATACCACACCTGTCATCGATGAGCAGAATATTCCGCTGATTCATCCAATTATCTGCAGATAAATATTTGGTTCTGTCCTTTTGTTCGCATTTGGCATACATGCATCAATTTCACTGTAATCCTCGCTAAACTGAAACTCACTTCCTTTTTCTCTTTCTCGACTCTCAAGAGCGCGAATACTGGAGAATAATGGAGAATTCTGACGACCGACTATGACATGTGCGAATCCTTTTCGGTTTCCAGTTCGTTTGCTTCTATCAACGTCTGGTAAGGAAAGATAAAACATAGAGTAGAATCTCAAAATTAACAAGTAACTCCCAAGTCTGAGGAGTAGGATATTAGGATTAGTTTTGGGTGCATCACACCAAGAATAACCCGCCATTTTTTTAGGAAAAGAAAGTGCTTCTATAAAGTCAAAATTGTACGTATTTGTATTATATATCATTATTATATCAACTACCGGTAAGATTTTTAAACTATAAGATTGCAATTTCCGGACCACCTACAGGTCCATACTCTCAACATAAAACCGAAAAATAAAAAAGTGGGGAGGAGAAAAAATTGAGATAGAGGAAAGAGGAAAGAAAGTAAGTGCACCCATGAGTTCAGTGGCGTATCGAGCAGTGGGCGAAAGGAGAGCTTCATTCTTTTACCACTTTCCTATTGATTGACGACGAACACAACACTATTATATCCCTGACGCCGATTTTTTCCTATTTCTCCTCTTAAATGCTTGAAAATTTCTTCTCAAATTGGTGGTTTTTTTTCTATTTCTCCTCTTACAGTATGTTTAAACTATGACGATAACAATCAACGATAAAAAGCTAAAAAGCAAATTGTTCATATAGAAATTAAAAGAGATACGAATACGTTTTCACACTAGCACGATTCGATAACGATTTATCATGTATACAATAACAAAATATTTTCATAAAGCAAATCAAATGACGTCATAATCATTGATAAATCGTTTTTACTACTACAATTTTATCGTTTTCCCATGATTATGACGTCATTTGGTTTGATTAGTGAAAATATTTTTTCATCGTTCACACATTTTAAGCTGGTTCCATCAGTTGAGACCACCACCGGCTGTCTGACATAAATTGTGTCTTCCAATTTTGTTCAATGTCAGCCCGCCCCACCCATTCTCCTTTATAGGCCTACACGTCCTGCTATTATTAGCATTGGTTTTTAACATCAACTGCGATAGGCCTTGTTTCGTAACAATGTGGGAATGCAGTAGCATGCGTAAAGGTGAGGGTAAAAAAGGCTTGCATCCCAGATTCTCCTACCATACCAATATATTTTTCCGAGCACAAATAAATCCACTAATGCACAAGTAGTTAAAAACAATGCCAGCGCCAGAAATTCCCCGACGAGGAGTCCGATGCCTCCGCAAAGGCCCTACATTTACCTCAGCCCCACCATAGTTGGGGCTGAAGTGCGAACATTTTAAAAATAGACACCTCTGGATTACCGGAAATGGCACTTTCAAAGTGTAAAAAATACGATTGGTTAGACATCGCATCATATCAAAATAAAATATCAGCGCTCTCCCCACGTAACCCTTTATCCCATCAGCCTCCCCTTCCCATGTCTCTACGCCACTCTAGATAAAGTGACCTACACTCAGAAAAAGCTATAGACCCTGAACTATGCCAGAGTAGGTGATCGTGTTTCTAACAGAAAAACCTTTTCTGTATTTTAATGTAAAATGGCCGAAAAATGATACATTTTAGCAATGTTGCGCGGGCCGGATCCAAATATTTGGCGGGCCGGAGTTGGCCCGCTGGTCGGGGTTGAATACTGGGGGTATAACCTTCTTTTATTCTTTTTACTTTCTATATGAACAATTGCTTTTTAGTTTTTATCGTTTATCGTTATCGTCATAGTGTAAACATGGCCTTTATTAGACCTAAACCTGCAATAATATAATGCATGCGAACCAAGTGGTTGATCCGGACACTACATCTCTCACAAAATCTTCTTTTCGGACTGTAGGTCAGGTTCAGGTTTAGAGCTTTGTGACTCCCAGTATAAAAATAGACTATAGGTCCTGGATTAAACCTTCGCGACGCCCGTGATGGGAGGGGTGTCTACGGGAGGGGAAGCATCGGGAAAAATAATAATTCTGCCGTGGAACACTGCTCTGAAAAAGCATTTTTACCGTCTGAGAGTACGGTACCATTTGCGAGCGTCTAGAAATGCCTATTCTTAAAATTTGCTCACCTCAGCCCCAATTGTAGTAGGACTAAGGACTCCATATTGGCAATGTGCCCACGCGTCAGAAAATGTCTGGATCCGCCCTGCACAGCCATGGAGGGCCTGAGGTCATGTGGATTCTCACGCACCCCTACCGCCAAATCCTGCATCCGCCCCAGGCTAGTGCCCGAAACTTGTTTCTTTTTTTTCAATGACGCTAAAATTATATTCATATAGACCAATGTTTCTGTATATTCTGGAGGTAATGTCACATCATTCATCCTAACTAGATATTATTTTTACAAAAAAAAAAGTTGATCTTATAATATTATATTATTTATAGACTATCAATATAGCATCTTACATCTCATTTTTTAGTTGGTAAAGCAACAAAACTGTAAAAGAGATTCTTTAAATCCTGTACTCAAAACTCTTTTTTCAGCTTAGTCCTACCTGAATTCTGGTATAGCACTTCAACTGCGGTATCGTGGTACACCATCTCAACTGCAGTATCATCGTATGCATTGTTATCTTCTACATCCTGGTATACAACTTTGTCAGCTGTAGTTTTCTGGTGTTGGACAACAGCGTTATGTGTAGCGTACTCGTGTGTACCTTCAGCTACATAGTCCTGATATTCAACTTTATCTACCGCTTTGCCATTTCTGCAAAAAAATAAGTACCAATTCTTTAAAGCTTGACCAGCAAAAAGTAACCCAGAGTGGTCTCCAATTTATAACTACGTGTTGTTTATAATAACATCTGTGTGGTGTAAATTGTTTTGAAATTACTATATTATCCCTGTTTCTAGTTAGGTTTTATGAGGATGTATTCAATTATTTTTATATTTATTACAGTAAATCCTATAGAATATACTATAATATAATAATTTCGTTTACAAAACACGGTCCCTCTACATCAAATTACAAAATTACACAAATATTTTACAAGGTGTGATAAAAAATAAGTACCGTAGTTATTATTAGATCCTGGTATACTATATTAAATAAACCAATAAGTTTATGAAAAACGAATATTGCTAATTTTATATAAATAATATCAATAAAAATAATAATAATAATAATAATAATAATAATAATAATAATAATAATAATAATAATAATAATAATAATAATATAATATAAATGACAATATATAGTGTAGATAATAATACTATAAATAATAAAATATTTATAATATTAATATTTATAATGATGACGATGCCTTGCGATACCGATAACGACACTGACAGTGACAATGACAACTGTAATTACAATGGTAATGGCAATTATGTTCATAATCATAATTATAATTATAACAATATTCATAGAAATAACCAAATCATAATCATTTAGTTGACGTCATAACAGAATAACTTAATATCATTATTACCCTGGTTTTTTTGTTCTTTGTCTGCGTCGGATAAAGAAGAAACTTAGTAAAATCATTGCGATTGTGACCACGACACTTGACATTACAACAGCAACAATCCGCAAGCTAGGACCCACTTTCATTTCTGATAGGGTTTCCTTTGATGAATGTGTAAATTCAGTTGGAGTGTATCCTGATATTGTCTTGTCTGTAACAAAAAATTGAGTGACAGGCCTAGACCAAATATGACTTGTCTGATGTACCGGTGTTGTTGGTTGTAGCTTTGGACAAATTCCCGTATGCACGTCTATGTAATAATTAAGAAAAATAAAAACATTATTTTGTCAGTTTTGTTTAATTTGTTGTTTCTTTTAACCTAAAATAAGTTCTACAGTATTACAATAAATATAAAAAATACATAACACAAATCACTTAAGTGTACATATCAGATTATACTGGCACTAATAAAGTGCATAAAAATAAGCTGTGCTGTTTTATGTTGTCTATTACTTAGTGTATCATTCAGGCTATTATTTGTTTTTCTTCATTACAAAAAAAGTGAAAACAATTTTAAGAACAGATGCCAACATACATACGTGTTTCAACCTGTCTCTTAAAAAATTTACCCACCCAATCCCACACTACACCTGTGACTGACTAACTACTTAGTGTGGTTAGAGTTCCTAAGAAAAAATTAATGCCTCGTCCTGTATGGTACCAAAATCTTATAATGTACCCCGTGTGTGATGATTTGTATACACGGATAGGCCCTAATTGTAAAAAATACTGTACAAAAGGTCAATGAATCCTAGGATAAATAAACATATTATGACAGAATAATTTAAAATTGTTTCAACACATCCTATCTTCCACATACCAGCGTCTAACAACTTACCCGTAGACTCGCAAACGAAAGTGTCTACCATACGAGTTGTGGCACATTTGGTATTTGTAATGCTTACTTCATTAATAAACAAATTTCCATCCTTTACTATAATTGTTGCACATCCCTTACTTATGATATTAAAAGACGGGTTTTGGATATGAACACTGAATATACTATCTTGCCCGGGACGTAGGATATGTAACACGCTTTCTGTCAACTGCTCGTACTCGTCGATGCTGTTTATTTCGGCGATGTTGCCGCCTAGTTGTTCGCATTCACGTTGAGCATCAATACATGATCGGTCATTTTTGTTTACTCTTATATATTTGTAGCAGTTTGGTGATGTATATACATTATCACCTGTAAACATCAAGAAAAACAAGAATCATTACATCATATATGCCTAGTAGGCCTACATTCGTCATTAATTGACACTAATAGGCCTAATTCATTGTATCTACATGAAAATAAACATTCTTTTTTTTTAGGATTCTATCGGGGTGGCGAAACCTCCACCCCCACCCCATCCCCCGTCTGGGAGAAAATAAAATTATACATGTATTTTGTACATATTAGCAATCTCTAAAATCGAATAAATAAACATTGAAACGTCAACTTTTTTGGGGCTTCTACGCTCGACCACGCCCATTTTCCTCTTGTTGGGGACCTCGGACCTCCCGTCTGGCAAAGCCTGGCGCGCCACCCCTGGGTTCTATAGAAGTAGTAAAAGGGTCGAATTTTTCGTAAATAGGCCTATAGCTTATTCCGTTGTACCGATAACATTTTAAATAGTTACGGTTTTTAAAGAAAAGATAAGTATATTTAAGAAAAGAAAAATATATTTTCAATGATTCTAAAAAATGGAAAACCAACTTTATTTTCTAAGCTCATAATAATTTACAGAGCAGTTTGACGTTTATTTCCATAGATTGCTTGCAAACAACTATCATAACTTCTAATTCATACCCGCATTATTAATGTTTCCGTTTGTATCCTTGTATTTCCAACCACCACGTGTGGGGTATATTAAGTAACACGGCGAACCTGAACAAGTAAATCCACTAAAATGAAACAGAAAGTATTTTAGCATATAGCCCTGTAAAGTCCAACGAATACTGTAAGTGCTGTAAAAACCATAGATGAAAATAACTTACGGACACTGTGCTCCAACCATTGCCAATTTCCATGCGAGGACCAAGATACATTTTATCCATTGCCGCATACTGCATTACCATGAGGCATGAAGGAAGTTTTATCATAAGTGAAGTACAAAGATAGGTCTTTGTTTATTAGGCTACATGTGAAGCCAAAATGTAGTATACACAATTTAATCTTGTCATTTGTACTAAGGCTTACTAATAAGTTCATATAAGCTTCCGCAAACAGATCGTTTTTAGTTTCAGTTTCAGTTTTATTGTTTCACACAATGAACATAATAAATGAACAAGATATTTAAAGATTAACATAATATTATAATAATTCAATGGTTCATTCATTAAC